TCTTACTTATAGGGTTGTTTTTGTGAAGATGTTTATTTATTAACTTTAGGAAATGCTGTCTGATATTAATATTTGATAATTTGCAGAAGTGGGTGGTTGAACCATATAATTTTTCTATTTCTGTGCCTACATTCCCCTTTAGATATTTTAGTGTTACTTATGGGGGTTAGGTAAGATAATTTATTTTGGAAGCCACTTTTATGGAGAGCATTTTCATACAATTCTCTATTTTTATTAGAGATTATTATGTTGAACGATAATTTACTAATTCTAATGCTGACAGTATTGACAGTCTCACAATGGCATTGAGGTGGTTAGAACTAAAATTAATATAGTTGGTGGTTTCATTCTCTTTATGGTAAGGTTTAAAGGTTTTATCTTTAAGGTTAAGAGTGATGTCTAGATAATCCAATATTTTAAGTTTAGAACAAATCTCAATCCTAAATCCTAGTAACTTAAAAGCCCTAATGTTTTTCTTTTGTAACTTCACATTACTGTTGGGATGAAAACAAGTCCATCATCTCTATATAGGCCTACTATTTTTGGATCTACAATTCTATTAAGTATATCTAAAATATAAAAACATACTAAATCAACAACCTGGACTGAATCATTTGCTCCCATAGGGACATCAAATCATCATTAAGGCACTTAGTCTAAGTGGAATTATGTGCTAACAATGATTTTCTAGCAGTTAAGATGATATTAATTTCATCATCCATTATCTTAATATTGTTTTTTGCAAAAAAAAAAAAACTTTTTTTCCTATCTTCTTCTGTCACATGGTTTTATGCTAATCATTTTTTAGTAGTTTTCTCAATAAAAATTGTTCTGTGTCATTTCCTCTTTAGCCAGATTACCCTGAAGATCTGTTTAGATGAAACCTAGGTAGGTTGTTCCTGGCTCTTTAGGATTTATTTTATATATATATATATATATATATATATATATATATATATATGGGATAATGATATATAGTTTTGGAGGAAAGATGTATGACAAAGTGGAAAAAGTTTTTGTGTGATATATATATGGCTTATAGCAACATCACATTGATACACCAGTTCCTGTATGATCATTCGAGTTAAGCAACTTCAAGCTTGATCAGTATCTAGATGGAGAGCTTGGGAATACTAGGTGCTGTTAGCTTAGACGTGTGGGTGGTGTAATGGATAATGATTTGGAATTGTTAATTGGAGAGCCAAGTTCATGTTGGGTTCATTATTCATTTACACACAAATACCATTGGGGAAAGGTATGAATCCACCTCCTCTCCCCACAGCTATAGGTTAATTCGTAAAACTTGTATTAATCACTAAACCATTATTATTCAAAAAAAATTTATTACAATCTAAAAATATTCTCTGGCTTTAAATAACCTGCAAACGGCTGATGAGCTATAGAAAATGAATTAATCGATAGATTACATATGTGTATTCTTGTGTACCAAATGCAAGTACAATCTGGAATAGTCATACTGGTAGGAATTTTTCAGCTTATAATGTAGGCAGTGAAATCCTTTATTTATGAGACAAAATAAGCATGCTGTAGAGGAAATTATTTGAAAAATAATAAATATGAGATCCACGCCCTTCTGGGGGATGAATTTCATCCTACAATCCCTTTCACATGGATGAGATGTTGAAAGCCTCTTGCTATTACTATTTCTTTGTAAAGCATACAAACAAAATACATTCCTTAGAACCACCAGTTTTAACCATCATTGCTAAGATCTGCCATGTGACTCACATTGTAGTAAACCACCGTTATTTGCTTCATATTCTTTGAGTGAGATGTAAGTTCCACACTAGCAGTTTCTACACAAGAACCACTGCTTTGTGGAATTGACTCCCAAAATAAAGCTTCCCCAATTACCATAATCTTAACCTGTTCAAGACCAAAGTTAATCTTCTCCACATAAACTGTTCTTCTTACTCAATAATCTGCTATCTTGAGTGACTCTTGTGCCTTGTACAGAGTAAACATTGTTGTAAAAAAAAGGAATAGCAAATAAGAACCATACCATGGGAGTGAAAGAAAAAAATTAATCATGTTGGCACATATTTGGTATACAAATATGTATGTATATATATGTGTAATATAGCAACAACTCTTAGTAGAAGCTTATGAAGCTTTATTTGATTAATTCAGCTTTAGTGATGGAAATGTTCATTTTATTATAGTGGATGGTTACAGGTGAGAGGGGAGATGGGATATGCTTATTTTACTAATGCTATATATATATATATATATATATTAATCATTTCACCCTAAGTAAGGAAATAAAGCCACTAAACCTCAAACAATAAAAGAAGTAGAGCCAAGAAAACAACAATTGGCATTGCATTTAAACTTTTGAAGATCAAAGTTGGCTGGAAAGGAAGATAGCCAGAAGAGGTGAGAAGTGCAAGAAATGAAACTGTTAGCAAAGATCTTATGATTACATCTTGCCAATTCAACTGCAAAGAGATGAGACCTTGTTGCCAATCTAATATTGCACTTAAATTCATAAAGTCTAGGTACCATAGAGGAAAGTTATCAAAACAATTACCAACAAAATATTTATAGAAAATTCACAGTTACATTATGGCAGTGGGAAAGTAACTGAAGCTGGGGTGCCAGGTCAGAACCAATAATATTGCAGATTCTTCTTTAGGTTTTATCAAGAATTTCTAAATAGCAGCATCAGACCATATGTAGCAGCAACAGTCAAAGCATGGATGAATGATAGATATAAATATGTAAGATAGATTCTGGAGTAAAAAATTGTCTAGCACATCACAGTAAACGAACTTTCCTAGCCACAGACTTAGTAGTATATATAACACTTTATAATATGTTCTTAAATCACACAAATTCATTGAATAATTTTTATGGTTCACATGCAAAATAATAAAAAGAGATGAAGTGAATAAAGGAGATAAAAGAAGAAGGAAAAAGTGAAGTATAAGATGGAAGCAGTAAAAATAGGAGAAAAAATAAGATGATGGAAAAAGAGAAATTGGAATTAGACAATGTAGAAAAAAAGTAATATATTTGATTCAGAAGAAAGATAGAACTTTGAAGAAGACAAAGAAAAATGGGCAAAGAAAATATCCAAGAGTTAAAAAAAACCCAGAAAGAAGTAGACATAAAAATAAAGAAGGTAAAGAAATAAAGAAACTGATTGGGATGACAACAATGATGAAAATTATGAAAATGATAATGAATTTTAATAACATTGATTGTCTCTGAAATACAAAGAATAAAACAACAGGGAAAACATTGTTGTTTTCTCATTGGTAATCATAGCAAAGCATTGAGAACATAGAAGATATTTAGTTTGTCGTCAATAAAATGCTTTCCTTTCTGTGATTTGCTTCATTCTCTTTTTATATTCGTTTGTTTAATTTCCACCCGTCTGCTTTCTCCATCATTTACCTCTTTCTCTATGTTCATCAGATTATTAAATCCCCTGGGGGAGGAGCAGAGGAAAAGAATATTTGTTATCAAAGGATTGTTAACTTTTTTTCCTTTTTTTGTTGTCTTTCTTTTAATTTAGTTAATTATTTGAATGATTTGGCTCCAATGAGAAAGTGCCTGAAAATTGAAATCACAAAGATTTAATGGTCTAATATTGTTTGGCTCAAAATTATGAAGTTATATTTGTAGTCAAGACATAAAATAAGATACAGAATTTTTTTTGGCTGGGGGTTGGGGTTTAATATTTTATTATTCGTCTTTGGAAATGTTGAAGAATTTGTCTGATTTAACTGATGCAATATTTTCTTGATTCTTTTGTCCATTTCCATTTGGAAATAAATGATACTGCAATTTCATTTTCTCTCTTTCTTTGAGTCATTCATTCATGTTTCCTTCATTTTCACTTTCTTTGTTTCATTTCCCCTTTCTTTTTTGTTCTTTGTATCATTCTTCTTGCTTTCATTTTTTTCTTAGTTTTGCATTTACCTTTCTTTCCTTTTTTTACATTTCCATCTTTCTGTTTTCTTTCTTTCTATCACATTTTCTTCTCTCTCTTTTCCCTCATATTTCCTTCCATCTTTATTTTTTTCATATTTACCTCTTTCTCTTTCACATTTCTTTCATTTTTTTTTCTCTCATTTCCTGCCTTCCTTTTTTCTTTCACATTACTATCCTTCACATTTCCTACCGTCTTTCTTTCTTTCACATTTCCATTCTTTCTTTATTGTTTCATTTCTGTATTTACTTATTTCCCTCTTTTTCTCAGACTGTTTCATTCTTTTTTCCTTTCATAATTTACCACTTCTTTATTTCCAAATTTCCTTCATGGTTTCTTTCTCTCACTTTCCTTTCTTAGTTCTTTCTTTCTCTCACATTTCATTCTACGACATCTCCTTTCTTCTATTCTTCATTCCTTCCTTCATTATTTCATTCACATTTCCTTCTTTCTTGCCTTCTTTTACATTTTCTTCTTTCTTTCTTTTTCATATTTCCTTCTTTATTTTATTTCTTAAAAAGAACTACAATCCCATCGTTTCCTTCTTTCATCTTTTTTATTCCCAATATTTTTTCCTTTTTCAATCTCTTGTTTCTAATTCTTCTTTCAGTCTATGTCGCCACATTGCTTTTTCTCTCCTTCTTTTTTTCTTGAACAGTAATTATCATTTGCAAACTTATTAATACTTCTTTCTCTTTTTCTCATTCATAAACTGTTTGCTTAAGATCATAAAACTGTAAGAATAAAAGTTATCATCAGAATATTTTAATATATTTAATGACATTGGAGGCTTAAGAGAAATGTTAAATCAAAATGAACAAGGGAAAAGATTAAACAGATACAAACTTCACACACACATATAAACATGTATTAATGTAGGCACGTACACATTTGTCAGAGATGAAGCACAACAAATCCACTCTCCACTTCCCCAAAAAAGAAAAATAGTCAAACACAAACCCAGAAAAAAAATTTTGCTCCTAAATCATATTTTGGACACAAAAAGATGTAAAGATTTGAGGACAAAAGATGCAAAATTAGCATGTCTTCCTTCTTTTTTCTCTCAATTGTTGGGGATGATGTGGGCCAGTTGTCAAGTGCTTTATTATGTAAATCACTTTTACTCGGAAGTTCTTCACACTTAGAACCACATGTCATGGAATGACACCAGGGCACACACCCTCATTTTGCAGATGATCGTAATGGAGTGCTTTAATTGGTAGCTTTTCATTGCGTGTTTAACAGGCAGTGGGTAAGGGAAAAGATGGATGAGTGACTAACAGATGATTGACAAGTGGAGCAAGTGCAATGCAGTTGAAGAAATTTAAGAAAATTGAAAAGATTTTGAAATGTAAAACGTTAAAAGCTAAAATATCAAATTATATTCTCTTTTCTTTTATTGTACCATTTTACTTTCCACTAACAATGAGTAAAATAGCAGGGTATACTTAGCTCTATAGCCCTTGTTGTCAACCACTCTCGGAGAAGGCTTTTTGCTTTTTTTACTTACATTTATCTTTTCTCCTACCATTTTATTCACACCTATGAGTAAAATAGCAGGGCATACTGTGCTCTGTAGCCTTGAATGTCAATCACTCTAGGAGAAGCTTCTTTGCTTTTTTTTTTACCTATATTTATCTTCTTTTTTTCTACCATTTTAAAAATAGCCTTAGTTGACACTCACTCTAGGAGAACGATTACTCTTAATTCAAAATGCTGATCCTTAACCACTGTCATCAGTCTAGGAAGCCCATCCACCAGTGACGTTGTCATCACTATACTGGCTGAATACAGAGATATGTATCATTGTCTACCCCATTGTGTTAAATGGGTGTTGAACCTTCAAGAAGGTCCATCTGCCCTTTAACAAGTCTTGTTTTTAACCATGCTGAATGTTTTACCACTCTCCTTACCAAAAAGCCTGGTGGAGGAACCAGTATAGTTAATGATTATCTGGCCATATGGCAGGTAGTGTTGGATTACACGGTATCAGTAGCCCTTGTAGACTGACCTGACATAAAATACAAGATTTTATAAAATTAAAAAAAATAGGATTGACCTGTAAGAAAATATTTGGAGAAGTTAGTGTTGTGAATGTAAACAGAGATGGAAATTAATATTAAGCCTTTAGCCAAATTATCACCAAGTGAACATCATAAAAAATAAACATGTAAATTGGGCAAAGAGGTCCATGAAAACTCATTTTCCAATTACAATTATTAGTGATGAATGTAGAGCTACAATGTATGAACTTGATGATTGGGCTAGAGTTATGATTCTTGATGGAAATAGTCAGACAGCACAACTTAGAAGATAATTGGTGTTCCTGCTATATATTCTTGAGATTCTTGATGAAATCCAAAGAAGTGTCTGCAATTTTATTGGTCATGACCTGGCATTTTGGCTTCAGTTACTTTCTTACCACTATGATGTAGCTTCTTTGTGTCATGGTAATTGTTCTGATAAACTTCCCTTTATGGTACCTAGACTTCATGAATTTAACCGCAGTACTAGATTGGCATCAAGGCATCATCATTTTACAGTTGAAATGGCTAGATGTAACTGTAAGTTCTATTCTAACAGTTTCTTCTATTGCACTTCTTGCTTGTGGAACTATCTTCTGGCTTCATGCTTCCCAAGTTTGATTTTCATTCATTTTAAGTAAAATTTAAATGCAATGTCAATTGTTATATTCTGTCTTCTTAATTCCTGTTCTTTTTATTTTCTCTCCTTAATAATGTTCTTTTTCTCATATTCTCTAACACTCAGCAGTGTCTTAGTGATTTTATTGCCTTGCCTGAGGTGAAATGATTAAAAAAAAATTGTAGAGTAGTGATTTAATATTTTGTCTAGTACTGTTGATAATAAAATTATAAGCATCTTCAAATCTGATGGTGTTGCTAAGATAATTTTAGGACACAATGTTTTTTGAGTGATAAAGTTTACATAGAAGAAGCTTCAAGATAAAGAATATATTTATACCAGATAAAGGTACCACATTGTACAATGTGATAATATCTATTCATCAGCTGTCTACACATTTGGAGGCATACCAAATTAATGAAATGGCTGCAGTTTTGTATAATATTAATCCAATAGAAAATTTATAATCCATCATTAAAAGAGATATACATGATGATGTAAAAAATATTCCAGCAAAGGTCTCTGGAAGAAAATAACAACTGCTTCAAGTAATGTTACAGTTGAATTGATTTGTATGACTTACCAATCCTTTGTTTCCTCCTGTATGTCAGAAAATGCTGGACAATATCCTCAAAGATGAAAAAGAGACTTGAAGCAATAGAAATGAGGTTCTACAGAAGGATGCTGAGGATACTATGGGCCAAACATTTGAGCAACAACGTAGATTTAGAGAAAATGGAAACAAAAAAGAAACTTATACTTAAGTGACAGTTGGGGCACATAATGAGGAAGAAGGGCTTGGAAAATCTGATACTCACAGGACAGATTCAGGGAAAGAAGGACAGAGGAAAGCTACACGTAACATACTTGATGAGCTTGAGTAAATGGATGATAGAACAGGGTTTGGGAGAAATAACAAAATGACAAAACTTATCAAGTGCTACAAGGCACAGGAAGATGTGGATAGCTATGATTGCCTATGTCATAAAGGGAAATGGCACATATAAGAAGAAGAATATTTTCTGGGATATTTAAAGACAAAACATATTTTGGATTGTAAGAATTATTTATTTTTTGTTAGTGAATATTCCATTAACACTTATTTTTTGGAGAATAACAAAGATGGCTTTAGATACATGCCCTACTATTTAACCCTTATTTGGTGGGAGAAGAAATAAATTCATACATTTTCCAAAGGTATTTGTGAGTAAGGGACTCTAATAAACTCAACTCTTTAATTTTTCATTCAGAAATGCTATCCATTACACCACCTGCACATCCTGAAGATTTTGGCATAGAGTATATAACAAAACCAATGAATAAAAGACCAATGAATATTATAGAATGTCGAAGGGGCCATATTAGCATGCAAAATAAAATTCATTTATGTATATTGTTGTAATCTAGGGAAGGTTATTGAATAGAATAATCAAACTAAGGTTGGTAATGAATGATAATATTTAGGACAAGAACAACACATATAAGATTTGCCAGCAATGCCTAGAAAAAGTAGTCAACTGCTAGAAGTGAGTCAAGTGAATTCCACAATGAATCTCCAAATGCAGACCAACATACAGTATTTACTACTGTATTTATGTGAATGGGGACATACCCATTATCGTCCGTAGGTATGCTACAACATATATAGAATGCTATAATAATCAAATATGTTTCTATGTTCCCTATCTTTTGGATTAAATTAAAAATATAAATTTACCTTGCAATTATTATTTTGTTTTCATTATAAAGCATCACATAAACAAAACAAGATTTTAGTAAAGATAAGTATTAGCTGAAACTCAGACAATATATTACTCATAGAAATATAGCTTTAAAATTTTAACAACATCGGCTGGTTATTGTTAATTTTATTGTAAGAATATTAACTTGCATTAGAAAATCTGGTATAGTCTAAAAGATTCATATCATCTTGAAAAATTTGGATGTATGCAACTGAATGGATTGAAAATGAAACCCTTTTTTATGACCAAATTGAAAAATATGTTAGATTCTTACTTAAAAATGATTTCAAGTTGACTGTTGTTTTATTATATTTAAATTATATCATGTTGAAATATTTGGATGTATGCAACTGAATGGATTGAAAATGAAACCCTTTTTCATGACCATAGTGAAAATATATTAGATTCTTATCTCAAAATTATTTCAAGTTTACAGTAGTTTTATTATAATTAAATTCCAGCTTAACCAAATATTTTATCAGAAAATTTGATTGAGTAACTTTCAATTTTTATTTCTTTTGATTATTTATATCTGATGTTACCTGCTTCAAAGATATTTTGGCGTCAGAGTTGATGGCTGAAAAATTTTGATGACTGGCCCAAATAAATAAATAAATAATAAAATGAACAAATTATTGAAGATTTTTTTTTTTTATGAAGATCAAGATCAAAAGAGTGATTCAAAGGAAAATAAATATGATTTACCTTTCACTGTAATCTATATCTGATATCTGATGTAGGCCTTTCCACTAAACGATGATAAAGAGAGAAAGAGAGATAATATAATCATGGAAGAGACCCCCTAAAAATATAAAAAATAAATGAAAATGGTTAATTCTCATTTATAAAAGAGAAAAAAAAATCTCTAGAGTTCACTGAGATGCCAGGATAATTTTGTTTTAATATGCAGATTATTTTAAGATCAATACATATAAGTTTCATGGTGCTTCTTCAGAGATTTTACCTCATTCTTTTTCTTGTTTTGTTCAGTGGCTCAATCAAATGACATCTTGAAATCCTGGATTTCAGCCAATTTTAAACTGTCCGAATCATATCCCTTTTTTTTTTATTTCATTTCATTACTGTTGTTTCTTTTAAATATCTTGTATGAGATCTAAGCTACCCTAGGTTTCTTTTAAGTCTAGCAGAAAAAGAGACCTTTGTAAAAAGAATATTCAAATAATTTTTGTGATATTTCGACTGATAATTATTACATATTTCAGCTTCTGGAATAGCAGACCTTGATCATGAAGAAAGATATTCAGAATGAACCATGAACGAAAAACATGAAGAATTCAAAATATCCTAAAGTGAGCTGATAAACATATGAACCTGCTCAATCTATCTACATCAACTGAATGCTGTTATAAAACCCATGATATTTAAGGGTTATTCTTTCTTATATTTTTAGGGGTTGGGGCTTCTTGCTTATTTTATATCTGATCATTTATTTTATTTTTACATAAGCAATAAGATCAACCAGAAAGCAATTTCATTTGATAAAATCCCAAACGGATTAATTTATGTTTTTTTTTAAACTCATTCCAATCTATTTTTTCTCAATCTCTGATTTTTGATTTCTTCTCTTACTTTCCATAATTTTTCTCTATTTCAACTCATACTCTCTCTTTTTCCTCTACTTTTGTTTATTCACTCTTTCTATTTTCTCTTACTTTTCATAGCATTTCTCAATTTCTATTTATTCTTTCCTTTCTCTCTGGTTCTTTCCTCATTGATCCTGTTGTTTTCTTTATTCCTATTTGTCTCCCTTTTTATCACTATTTTTGTCTATTTATATTTGTCCCTCTTTTTATTGCTCTTCTTGTCTATTTCTCTCTTTTTTTATCACTATTCTTGTCTATTTCTCTGTCTCTATTTATCACTATTCTTGTCTATTTCTCTGTCTCTATTTATCACTATTCTTGTCTATTTCTCTGTCTCTTTTTATCGCTATTCTTGTCTATTTTTACTTCTCTCTCTTTTTATCACTGTTGTTTTCTTTATTTCTGTTTGTCTCTCTTTTTATCGCTATTCTTGTCTATTTCTCTGTCTCTTTTTATCGCTATTCTTGTCTATTTCTCTGTCTCTATTTATCGCTATTCTGGTCTATTTCTCTGTCTCTATTTATTGCTATTCTTGTCTATTTCTCTGTCGCTTTTTATCGCTATTCTTGTCTATTTCTCTGTCTCTATTTATCACTATTCTTGTCTATTTCTCTGTCTCTATTTATCGCTATTCTTGTCTATTTCTCTGTCCCTTTTTATCGCTATTCTTGTCTATTTCTTGTCTCTATTTATCGCTATTCTTGTCTATTTCTCTTTTTATCGCTATTCTTGCTATTTCTCTGTCTCTTTTTATCGCTATTCTTGTCTATTTCTCTGTCTTTTTATCACTATTCTTGTCTATTCTCTGTCTCTTTTTATCGCTTTCTTGTCTATTTCTCTGTCTCTTTTTATCGCTATTCTTGTCTATTTCTCTGTCTCTTTTTTATCGCTATTCTTGTCTATTTCTCTGTCTCTTTTATTCGCTATTCTTGTCTATTTCTCTGTCTCTTTTATCGCTATTCTATTTCTCTGTCTCTCTATTTATCACTATTCTTGTTATTTCTCTGTCTCTATTTATCACTATTCTTGTCTATTTCTCTGTCTCTATTTATCACTATTCTTGTCTATTTCTCTGTCTCTATTTATCACTATTCTTGTCTATTTCTCCGTCTCTATTTATCACTATTCTTGTCTATTTCTCCGTCTCTTTTTATCACTATTCTTGTCTATTTCTCTGTCTCTTTTTATCACTATTCTTGTCTATTTCTCTGTCTCTTTTTATCGCTATTCTTGTCTATTTCTCTGTCTCTTTTTATCACTATTCTTGTCTATTTCTCTGTCTCTTTTTATCGCGATTCTTGTCTATTTCTCTGTCTCTATTTATCACTATTCTTGTCTATTTCTCTGTCTCTATTTATCACTATTCTTGTCTATTTCTCTGTCTCTATTTATCACTATTCTTGTCTATTTCTCTGTCTCTATTTATCACTATTCTTGTCTATTTCTCTGTCTCCTTTTATCGCTATTCTTGTCTATTTCTCTGTCTCCTTTTATCGCTATTCTTGTTTATTTCTCTGTCTCTATTTATCACTATTCTTGTCTATTTCTCTGTCTCTTTTTATCGCTATTCTTGTCTATTTCTCTGTCTCTTTTTATCGCTATTCTTGTCTATTTCTCTGTCTCTATTTATCACTATTCTTGTCTATTTCTCTGTCTCTATTTATCACTATTCTTGTCTATTTCTCTGTCTCTTTTTATCGCTATTCTTGTCTATTTCTCTGTCTCTTTTTATCACTATTCTTGTCTATTTCTCTGTCTCTATTTATCACTATTCTTGCCTATTTTTACTTCTCTCTCTTTTTATCACTGTTGTTTTCTTTATTTCTGTTTGTCTCTCTTTTTATCACTATTCTTGTCTATTACTGTTTCTATCTCTCTTTTTACTGCTATTCTTGTCTATTTCTACTTCTCTCTTTTTTTTATCTCTATTCTTGTCTATTTCTATTTCTCTCCTTATCTACATTTTTTCTTAGTTTTCTGTTTTTTCTTCATTTCTATTTATCTATCTCTCTTGTTGTCTTTTTCCTATTTTTGCCTCTATTTCTTCTCCCTCCTCTTCTCAGTTTCTTTTCTTACTTTTTCTATTTTTTCTTTATTTCTAGGTCTTCTCTATCTCTCTCTTTTTATCTCTCTTTCTCTTTTAATCTCTATTTCTTCTCTCTCCTCAATCCCTTTTCTTTCTTTTCTAGATTTATCTTTATTTCTTCTCTATCTCTCTCTTTTTATCTTTCTATTTTTGTCTCTATTTCGTCTCTCTCCCTCTTCTCGGTTTCTTTTTTCATTTTTCTGTTTTTTCCTTATTTTTATACTTTTCTTTCTATTGCTTCATTCTTGTTTCTGTTTCTATTTCTTCCCTCCCCATTCTACTTGTTTGTTCTCTTACTCTTTCTCTCTTCTTCTATTGCTATTTCTTCTCTTGCTCTCACTCCATGAGCAATCGAAATTTCATTAGTATCACATGATAATATGATAAAATTCACTAAATTAGAACTTTCTATATCAATATGATTTTAATGGTGCAAGTGGTTAATGCAAGGATATTAAATATCTAAACTGTGATTCTTTGACAAATTCACAAAGGGTCACAGCACATTGAAGATCATTTTACTTGCAGAGTTTCAAAAGACAAATTTGCTAATTCACCCATGATCTATTTAAGTTTATAATAAACAAAACTAATGTGGCTTTAAGTGCAACAAAAGATAGGAGATTGTGGTCAGTCATAATCACCCGCATCCTGAATAATATGGTGCATGAAGGAGATATGACTTTTCAGGGAGAAACAAAAACTTTAAATTTTCAATTGGGGATAAAATGTATAATTAGAAACTTTCATATGTAAATGTTTTTTTTTTTATGCTGTATATACAGGTTAATAGTTTCTTCTTCTTCTTTGAAATGCCTCCAAGATGTGGGTGATCAGGGCCCACCACAATTTTCTTTCTTTTGTAGATCTAAGTAAATTCTGTTTTTTTTTGCTATGTCTCCTGAACCCTGTTCTGCCAATCATTTATAGAAAGAGATTAGAAACCATTAAAAACCTACTGTTAAGTATCAAGAAGCATTTGAAATCTTGGGAGATAAAATAGGTAGAAAGAAGGCTTTGAGAATTTAGCACTCACAAGACACATTGCGGTATGACAAGTGGAGGAAAGCTCCTAATAACCTGCATGAAATATTTATGCAAATAAGATGGTGGAATAAGTATCCCTCGGTGACAAATGGGCCATAAAGTAGAAAGTATATATGATTTCTTCAAAAGTAGTTCTTATCATGCCTTACAAGTTTGCAAACAATAATTGTAGAGTAGGTCGCTGACAGCATAGGTCGCTGACAGCATACAATGAAATAGTTGTTCCTTATGCTTGGAGGTCATTGACCAACACATTGTAAATTCTTCTTGGTTGTTTCTTTACCATTCCGACAATCTTGGAAATCTTTCAAGAGGCAACATATTGAAGTGAGTTCAATTCCAAGCCAGGTTCCTTATACTTGAAAACTATCAAAAAAATGGTGCATTGATGAAGTTGCAACTCTTTGGCTCTGTAACTTTTACTTCTATGATAAGGACTAATAACGATATCTATGAGGTCAGTACAATTTTTCTTAGTTTTTAACATTATGATGGCTACAGCAATGATGGTTTTTCAGTCAACTGATTCACTGTACCATAATACCAACAAAAATAACTATGACTTAGTACATTCTGGAATAACCTAGAGCTGTTTAGAAACAACCCTCAAAAAATTTATATTCTCCATCAGTATAAGTTTACACTTTTTATGAATGGGTACTGAATACATTTTTACTTCATGTTTTTTAAATATTTATTTTATAATTTTATATAAAGAGATTTACTGAAATATTCACTTGTATTTACTATTGCAAAGATGAAACCTCTATGTGGTATAACTCCAACATAACAATGGCACCTTGACCCTTCCAAGTAGAATTTTATATCAATGTATTTTATGTAAATTTTCTCTTATATTTACTATTACAAAGATGTGATTTATATGTGGTATAATTTCAAGGTCAATACTTTCTGTACATATCAGTAAATAATGTGGTAAAGTGTATTTGTGGAATGTATGTCGCTAACAGCTTGCAATGGAATTGTTGTTCTTGATGCTTGGAGATTATTTAACAACATTTTATGAATTATCCTTGGTTGTTTTTTTTACCATTCTGACAATCCTTCTTGCTATACAGCTGGAACTCTTTCAAGAAAATCAGACAAAGCAGAGGAAAGTACCTAATATTTTGTTTGACAAATTTATGCAAATAAGATGGCGGAATAAGTATGACCAACACATTGTAAATTCTTCTTGGTTGTTTCTTTACCATTCTGACAATCCTACTTGCCGTACAGCTGGAAATCTTTCAAGAAAACTAGACTGAGGACAAAACATTTACACAAGTTTGTTAGGTAGATTATGCACTGTTTTCCTTTGTCTCGCCCATGATATATCCTGTGAGCGTAATGCAAAAGATAGACAAAATTTAATGTTCACTGCTTCATTTCAAACACTGAAATTCCTCGTCTAATGGGAGTTTACATTTCACGTGCATTTCAGGGACTATGTTTTGAATTAAGTTGTCAGTTAAGAATCTGCACAGAAAAAATATCTGAAATTTAATTCTTTGGAGAATCAGATTTCTGACATTTTAAATCTCTGTAGGTAGACTGTAAAATATGACACTTTAAGATTGGCTCAAAGAAGTGTAAACTCACAAGGTGTTTTAAATCTCTCTCTCAAACACACTTTATCAGCAGTTCATATGCTTGTCAAGAAATATGCATATTGAATTTATATGTGTTTGTATATTTGTGTAAATTAATTTGAATTTTTCCTAATCTTAAATAAATTTGCTCTCAATATTTTTGCTCCAGCATTCTAATCCTTTTACCTGATCTTGTAAATATATCAGATTCATTTCTGTAACAATATGTCTTTTCATTAATCTCTTTCTGAGATTAGCAAAAATAGTAAGATTTAAGACAAAATTTTACATTGGATTTATATAATTACTTTATATCTGTTAAACTGCACCTCATTAATTTTTAAATAAGTAGTTTTAAAATATGTTTATGTAAATTTTATTCCTTTTGCCAATATGGAAAATGTGTTTTGAATGCAGTTATTCAAGAACTGAAGTTTTCAATAGATTTAGCTTTAATACTGAATTATTATGTTATTTTGGAAGACTCAGAGAACGTGAATACTTTAAATGGTATTTTCTACCTTACAATCCCTTCCTCACAGACTTAACTAGTAGGAGAAACAAAAACTAGAGACCATGAGATCAACAAGAACATAAAGGCAATCATTGATGAAGAAAGTTCCATGAGTATAGTAAGGAGTTGGCTGGAACAGTAAAAAAACAAAGGAAACTAAACTTACAGGTAGCAAGTGAAAGAACATCAGAAAAAGTGCAGGGATTTTAAATGACTTTTATGTCTGAAACAAAAGTGGATTTCTTAAATTTTAGACTTCATGGCAGATGTAGTTGAATATCTTTTTCTTCTGTTAAATAATACCACCAGTTCTAACTTACATGGCTTAGACCCACCATTCTATACATATTGTAACAAACCACCATCATTCCCTTCATATTCCACTGGTGAGTTGTAAGTTCTGCTCAAGCAGCTTCCACCCATGAACAGCTGCTTTCCCGGTCACTACAATCTTAACTGGTTCAAGTCTAGGACTAGCCATTATATTCCCCACATGTCCACATAAATGGTGCCTCTTACTCTGTAACCCTCTACCTTGGATGGCTCTTAGGTCATGTACAGGGTGATCATTATAGTAAAAAAGAAAATAAGTTTTTTGTTTCCATAAAAAAACATTACAGATTCCTGAACATATTTCTTTTACTCCTTTGTGTGTCCCCATTATTCAAGATTTTTCTATATCTTTTCACATCATTATTACAGAAGTTTTACCTACATATAATAATAATTGTTGTTGCTGTATTGGTAACTTTACTTATATGGTACTCAATCAGAACATGAATGATCTTTCCCTATCAGTGCCTCCACTGCATGAATTTAAGCAGGCTTCTAGATTGACAATTGGGTTTCACAGTTTTACTGTCGAACTAGCAATATACAACTGTATGTTCTAATAGTATCTTTTCTTTCACTTCTCACCTGTGGAACACCTTTCCAATTTCTTGCTTCTCTGCCATCTACAATTTTCAATCATCATCTTTTCTCTTCCAGTTACCTTTCTTTTATTGCCTTTTTTCTCACTTCTCCTCACTCAAGATATCTCATTCTCTTTCACCCCCAGTAACCACTTATTGCCTTGCTTGGTGTTAAATGATTTAAAAAATATATACTTGTAAAATTTGCAAAGAACAGGTTTTCAAATGTGAAATTTCATCATTATTCTAAATGTGAATTTTTAAGTATCTATGTATGCAAGCATGTATGTATATATGTGTTGATGGCATGTATGTATATATGTGTTGATGGCATGTATGTAAATATGTGTTGATGGCATGTATGTATATATGTGTTGATAGTATATATACCTATGTCTTCACATTTGTCTTTATGTAATTATTGCGTGTGTGTGTGTACACAAATCAGAAAGGGGATAAATGAAAAAAATTAAAGGAAAAAATATCATATTAAAATTGGAAATAATATACCTGGAACTAATGATGAGAATAATCCAGAAGTCAATTTACATTTCTGTTGGATAAAAATAATAAGAATGATGATCTTAAAAGAAAACTGGTGAATTCTGCATTTAGTCAGTAAAATATATACTAAAAGAATATATACTTAGTATTAGAAAGAGACAATTAAAAATTCTACAGCACATAATTGATGGATCCTTAAAGATGTTACAAACAGACAAAGATGGTACTTGAGTTAAAGGAACAGCAACACAGGCATAGATGAAAGAAAAAGAGGTTTGTTGTAAAAGAATACATGACTGAAAGACAGGGAATCAAGTAACAAGCTAGTAATTTCCAAAACAATTCTGCCAGGTATATCCTGTGCACAATATATATATCTACTGATAAAGTCAGTCCAAAATAGATGATAGGGAGAGTGGGACATTCCATTACAACAATAATGATGAAAGAAGGCTTGGAAAATTTGACACTCACAGGACAGATTGAAGGCAAGAGGTACAAAGGAAAACAGCAAATGACCTACCTAATGAGCTTGTGTAAATGGTTGGCAGAACAGGTATTAGGATAGGTAGCAAAAAAACAAACTTTACTTAGAGCTACAAATTAAAGAAACTTGTGGAGAGTCATGATTGTCTATGTCCTGATAGGACATAGATGATGATCAGCTTATTTGAAGGAGCAAATGATCTAAGAGTTATTGGCTTGCAAAGTGAAATTTGCATCTTCTTCCATGTGCTATGTCCCTTCAGGATGTAGGCTACCATGGCTCTCCAAAATTTCCTATGCTTGCAGCTC